CCCCCAAAACCCCAAAACCCCAAAACCCCTTCAAACCTTTCAGTTATACTAATATTCAAATTATGGATCCCCATCAGCCCCCTTGACCCCATTCTTTGTCTACTACTGGAAGTTTGCATGAGTCAACAGTCTGCATAGAAACTCTCCTTGGCAACTTAAATACTCATATAATGGATGAGTTCTGTATTAAATTTAAGAACGATTTTTGAGTGGAGTCTTTAGTCCAAAGTTTAAACCTTATGCTAACTCCCATCATATGTAATTCAAGCAGAGTAGATGAGGAGATACTCAGAGAAGAAAGCGAGGAGCCTAAAGGATCTGTCATCGATAGCTATCGATCTTTAACAGTGCCAATCCTAAAATATGTGAAACCTCCAAGCAAGGAAAGCCTTATATAGTAACTTTATTTTTAAACGTATCATAGGCAAGCCGTTCAGCTGTCAGATCACCTCGTAGGTCATCGAAGCGGTCTTCAAGACGGACATCCAAATTATATCTAAGCCCAGAGAATGCTCGCAGAATAAAGGAGGAGTCTTTCATGACCCAAAAAGCTTTAAAATAACAGTAGTAAATTTCTTCATAGCTTTAGTGGTCAAGCTCGCTGATTGTTCTGAGAGGGAAATTCCTCTAGACGAGGAAATCCTGAGGAGGAAGAAGTAAGCCCTCACTTCTAACTCTAGGCGTGATCGAGAGAAAATGCTCCAGGCTCAGAAGAAGGAGGAAGAGGAGAGAAAGCAGCATGAAGAGATGATACAGAAGGAGAATTTGAGACGAATGAGTCTCAAGACTAGAAACTACGCTGATAAGAACATCACTTATGATCACAGAGGCAAGCTCTTGCTTGTTCATAAGGTCAAGCAAGGGTCACTTCCAAGCATTATTAACATACAGACCAAAGTCAAGAGGAAGATAAAGCTAGCTAGGCAGAGAAATCGGCCTGAAGATAGCTACAAGGAAGGCATGAGTGACAGAGATGGTACCTCTACTACTTCATTATTCCCACAAGCTATCTCTCCCCACGAACCATTAATTCCTAGTCTTAAATAAATCTACTGGTACTGTAGACATCCTTGACGAAGAAACTGGAGCTCTTCAAAGCAACGAGTCAAAGCTAAAACTGGAGCCAGGAGTATCACTTAGCAGGAATGGTAAACGGATTAGCGGTCCAAAACTGGCTAAAAAGAAAGGTGCGAGGTTCAAATTAGATGTTACAAACACCTTTATCCCTAAAGACAAAGACTTATTATCTAAACTTGCTCAATCAAGGATCAAAAAGCTTCGAGAGTCATCTGAGGTGAAATAAATCTGACAAGGAGTATTCCCAGAATAACCTCTTTAGCGACCTTACTACAGATAATTTTTACCAAGAGAATACATCAGAAGAACGAGAATTTATCTTGATTAAAGTAACTTTACTATTAACTGTAGAACTCCATTAATCTGAAGCCAACCACTAGCTCAAGGAACAGAGATAAGATCAAGCCAGATTTCTCGTCTATGAGCTATGAAAAGATGAAACTTCTGGTAGATGGGCACCAGACTTCACGGAATGTCGAACCTGATCATTGAAGTTATGTATCTAATGTGACGAATCCTCAATCGAGGATAAAGTCTGCAAGCAAAAAGTTTAGAAACCAAGTAGCTCAAAGGTTCAATAAGATTGTTAAAGGGAAAGTTTATAAATATGGAGAGCCATACAGCTCCTTATCTTCAAATAGTTTCAAGTTTTCTGACAAGTTTTCCATAAGAAATAGGAATTACTCCAGGTAATTTTTCATTGTGATTTATAGAGAATCTAGTAGGAATAAGCCTGCTAAGAGACCAGCAACTACTAAGGGCAACAAAAGATATTTCTCAAGGAAGAATAAGCTGAATCTGAATGACTCAACTTCTATTGAAAGACAATCATTTGTTAAAAGTCCAGGGTCAAAAAGGTCGACCAGACATGGTATTTTCCCTAAAAAGTCAACAAGGGAGTCTAAAAATATGAGTAGGCCGTCTTTTGGCTACTAGGAACTCTCGGATCTCTCGTTTGACCCAAAAATTTGCTCTAAAAATCTCAAGATTTATAACGAAAACCTTCAATTTCTACTGAATCTCACGGGGTTTTGGGGTTTTGGGGTTTTGGGG